AGGGCAGGGCGGTGGTGTCAGCCTGCCCCAATGATCAAGCCAGGCTTTGAATCCTATCTAAGAAATCTGACTCCTCATCAATGTGCCGCCCGCAACCCTGGCAAACATCACTCGAAACCACGGTATGGAGACTTCAAAGACATGTAAAGCCAATTGAATGTGTGAACCTGATTTGGCTCAGGATACGAACACAGTGTTTTAAAAAGAGATGCAGTCAAGGAAACAGAATACCCTGATTAGACATTTCTGCGACTTCATTTTTCAGGTTATCACGATAAGGACATGGGGTTATTTGTATTTACTTCCGTCCTTCTGGAAATAATGAAATATTCACAATAAGACATTATGATGACCACGATTTATTCATAACAACAGAAGAGGGTACGGGGGTGGATGATATACATGAGACAAAATATATATACAAAAAGGTCCATTACACTACCCCTCTGCTTCGAGGCAGGTTTGAATTTCTCCAGCATAAAAAGATTTCTGAATGCGAACCCAAGATTCTGTTATCTTGTCATTCCATTTCTCCGCTAACTTCTGAAGTCCCCTCAACATCCCTCAGGTGAGGCCATTGTGGTTCAACCCCGGGCTGCTTCCTTCATGACAAGTCCATTGTCCGGACGTTCGAGGGGCAAGAATGAGTCTGTTCCATGGTATTCACCACTCAGTAACCTGCCCACCTAGTACACTGCCACCCACGCGAACACCTAAGACAGCAACTGGGCTCCTCACGCCTGCACCAGAGGCCATGAAGAAAGCTGGAGACGCACGAAAGCAATGAGCCCCAGGTTCACGGCCCACAGGAACAGCGGCCGCCTCTACTCTGCGACCAGATGGGGCCCTGCTAGTACAACCAACCACTTGGAACAGGGGCACAATAGAAGGTTCCCATTAGAATAGGTAAAAAGATACCTTTTTTTTTTAAGGCCAGATTTACTGGTTTGAAAGAGGCTGGAGGAACATCTCAAGACTGCTACCCTCAAACAACCCTCTAACCTGAAACCAAAAACACTCCCAAAGCCCACCTCCCGGAGCCAAGATATCAACAATAACACCTGGGAGAAGATGCTGCTTATTAACAATCAGATCAAAACAAATGGGGGAAGAGGATAGGAGAGAATATTGACACAGAGATGCCCATTTATATAAAAGCATTTGCCAACCAACAGAAATATGAAAGGGAAGAAAAAAGCCCATTATTGTCATAATTTTCTACTAGAAAGACTATCTAATGTCAGTAAAAAAGGGCACACTCTTTAAGAAGGGATTTCATCTCTTTGCTCATCACATAAGAAAATAACTGAAAAGGTTTTCACCAAATACGGGCAGTTTTGACCGCGTGGCAGAGTTGGTAGACTGTCTGGATATAGAAGATGGCTACATTTCCCAGGGTCCCCAGCAGTCCCCTGTGGCCAGGGGACAGAGTTCTAGCCAATGGAATCTGAGTAGACGTGACCAGCACGGACTCTCGCTGGACTCCTAAAGCTTCAGACAGGTTAGACCAGCAGTTCTCAACCTGTGGGTTGTGACCCCTTTGGGGGGGGGGTGTCAAATGACCCTTTCACAGGGATCGCCTGATTCATAACAGTAGCAAAGTGACAGTTATGAAGTAGCAACGAAAATAATGCTATGGTTGGGGTCACCACCACATGAGAAACTGTATTAAGGGGCCGTGAGAACGGTGGAGAAGCACAGGTGAGACGGTGGTTAGATGGTGGGTGACGAGCAAGGCTTAAAAGCCTCACGTTGACCATGGAGGGTTTCGGAATAGCTGTAGGGAACAAAGAGCTTTTCCCTCCTCTTCTACAATGTCACTGAACTTGGGCCCAGCGTGTAAGGAAACCAGATTCCTAATGTGTTAGCCCATGGTACCTTTGGGGATCTATTATTATAGCAATCAGCTCACACACGGTTTAATGTCATACATGGACTACAAATCAACCATAAAAGATTTGAACAGATACGTTTTTTATAAAAGGTATCAACAGATATGACAAGGAAACATGTATGAATATGGCCAACGGGCCCGTGAAAAGATGCTCGGCGTCTTTGGACACCAGAGCAACAATAGGACGCCACTGCATACCCACCAGAAGGGCTGAAGGGAGAGCCTGGCCAGCCCAGAGCTGGCAGTGTGTGGAGAGCGAGCGCCACGCACAGCTGATGGATGGGTGGAGCAGCACGTTCACTTTAGAAAAACGGCTTGGCGGTTCTCAAACATTCCTACACCGTGAAAGCTAGCGATTCCACTCCTAGGTGCTTCCTAAGAGAAACAAAGCCTAGGTGCACAGAAAGGCATGGATAGGAATTTTCATAATCCAAAACTGGATCTAGCTCAGGTGTCTGGTCACAGGATAAACAAACGGTGATAAGAGTCACACTACTGAATCTAACTCTTCACTAAAACAGAGCAAACTGTTGCCAGCAAGCAACAGCATGACTGCTGTTTTGGTTTGTTCGGGTTTTTTCTTGGTCTACTGAAAGAAGTCTTTCACAAGAAGTACATCCATCAATAGGGGTGGAGTCCTAGCAATGGTTTCCTGAGGGGAAGTGACACCGGCTGCAGGGAAACCTCACAGGAGGACTTCCCGGAGAGCTGTCAACGTTCCACTTCCAGACAGAGGGCTGGGAGTCACAGGTGCATGTATTTGTCAAGCCTCACAGAACGGCCAGACCCACCAAAATGCATTTACTAAGAATGCTGACCCAGGGTGGAAAATGTAACTTCCTCTCACTGAACAACTCGCCCAGCAGTTGTCAAATGGACACTTTTCAGGACAAACACAGTATTTTTTTAAGGGGGCGTCATAGCTCTAAAGTTCACTGCAGGGATCCTTCTGTAACTGGCCTGTGGTGGCCGTTGATGGCAGGAAGGGAGGCCTCATGTGACAGGCTCACGAGGTTGAACTTTACTTAGTAGATAAAAGGCTGGCACAGAATGAGTTTGAACAACAGCCAAGGGACAAGATGGTTGAGTCTCCATCCAACCCCTCCAGCTCCTGCAGAAGAGGCCTCGAGGGAGGTGCAGAACAGGAGGAAGAACGCCGGTGGGCTCCGCGTGGCAGTGGTGCCAGAGATGACCCCAAAACACCAACCACCTCTACCTGTTTGGCAGGTGGCAGGTGCTGAGAGAGGTGTGTGGAAAAGGAGTGACTGAGGCATTGTGGCCATGGGAGACTTCTGGAGAAGAGCCCCCCAGCCTGTGGTCGCTGGGAATGTAGTTCCCACTCTCACACCTGTGGCTAGAGGAGGTGCCCTTAATCTGGGCTACCAGCTCTGAATGGCTGGGCATTAGTGATCACATGCTGCTTTGTTACCCTCCAACGTCTGTCTGGGCACAGAATCCAGGCAATAATCGAAGAGAACAACAACAATCGTTAATGATTCACCCAAGCAATGAGAAGGCAAGCTAGTCCAAGAATGAAATAGAGTCCTACTTAAAAAGGAATACATTTTGTTTTAGGAAAACCTCAGTATATTGTCGTGTTTCTCAATTCATGAAGGATTCATGAAAACATCCGTGTGAGCCAGGACCTAACAACGACTGAGTATGGAAAGACTCGGGCTCCAGGACACTGAGTTCTAATCCTCACTCTGCCTTAACTAGCTACGGGTCCCCAACGCTGCCATTTCTCCGATTTACTTTAAGAACTGCGTGATACAATCCAGTTGTCCTAGGGCATATAGTCAGAGACAAGCAAAGTGAGGAGAGATGGCAGTCTTCTGGGAAACTAACTCCACTAGCTCAAGCCATGGAGTCCATTTTAACACATAGCGACCCACTAAGGTAGTACACAGCACTGTAGCATTGTACCCCAGTAAAGAAGCAGTGGAGACACTGGGAGGAGCCCCCGTGATGCTGTGGTAACCACTCAGCCAAAAGTTCTACTCTGTCTATACAAGAGTCAGAATCTACCCCACAGCAATTGGAGCGGTTAAGCACTGGACTTCGAGCTGGAAGGTTGGTTGTTTGAAACCACTCGGGGGCACCTAGGACGACCCCATGAGTCAGAATTGACTGGATTGGAACAACAAACATGAACAGGACTGAAAGAGCACTCAACAAGATAAATACCATTCTAGTCCTCTCTCTGCCGTGAACAAGTGGCCCTGTGGGTTGGGAACGGCCCTTACTCTCTGTGCCAAGTCTCCAAATGAGGACTCAAGCCAGATGGGCGCTTATCTAATGTAACGACCTCAGGAGTGAGTGTCTTTTTAGACACCACGACCCCTACCTCCACCACTGGGCTGAAATCCCTCACCTTTATCTCATGTTCACAGATGTCACCTCCTTTGGGAAGCCTTCCAACCAGGTCTGTCCCTCCCTTCACACTCTCCACACAACCTACATTAGAGTCCTCCTGCATGATAATCATCTGTTTACCAGTCGGCTTTGAGCTCCTCCAGAACGTTGTTCTTGCTTCATCCGACTTTGTACAACTTGCCCTAACTCAGTACCTGGCACATGCTGGTTCTCAGAGAAACCCGTGGAATAAATGCAGCGCTGAATCCCTAGCTGGAAAATGGTAGGTCTGAGTGATCGTTTGGGAAAAGCAAATGAAATAATGAACGTGAACGGCGTCCTCATCCTTCGCTGGGCTCGGTGATGAGAAAATAAAGTCGTGGCCTTCGGCACCCCACAAAATAGGAAAGCTTTAGCAACGGTCTGGGCTGGAGCTCCCCACTTCCCCCATCCCCCCTCTCCTTCCTTCCTTGCAGCTGGAGCTCTGCCCGCCTCTTTCGCGGGCGCCTCCAGTCCGCCCTCAAACGGTGACCTCTGTCCCAGTTGGCAACCGTGCCACCTGCGAGCCCAGCGAGCGACGACATTCCCGGGAGCCCTCTCCCCGTCTCCCGGCCGATGTCACAGGCCTTCCCAATCGAAAGTCGCCCCCCTGCGCCCCGCGAGCCACCGCACGGCCCTGCGGACGCCTCCGGGCGGGGCCAGCCGGGCCGTTATTCGCAGCCCCGCGAGCCGCGGGGAGGTCCGGGCTTACCTGCGCGGACCGCTGCTCCTTCCACAGCTTCATCTGGTCGCTGGCTGGGTCCCGGCCGTCCGCCATGGTGTCCGAACGCAGCCGCCCAAAGCGCAGTCCGCGGACCCGACCACAGCCCCGCGGCTAAAGTACCCGAGCTCCGCGGCTCCGCCAATCAGCACCGCCTCTCGCCCGCCCCTCGGGAAAGCCCCCTCCTGATTGGACGCCTGAGAGCGAGGCAGCATGGGATTGGCTGTCCACCAGGAGAGCGGGTGGTGGACGGGAGAGGGAAGGTGGCGCGTCCGTCAGGGCGGGAGGACTGGCGAAGTATGGGGAAGGGGGTGAAGCAAAAAAAGGAAGAGTGGAAGAGTCCCGCCACTCCCGAGCCTGGCACCGACCGCGGGGCCCCAGAACTCCAGGATTATGGAACCAGGGCGGGGCGCCCCGTCCGGGGACTCGACGCTCTCGCCCCGCCCCACCCTACCCTTCCCCGGATTGTCAGCCTTCCCCAGAGCGCTGGGACTCTACAGCTGGTGGCCTGCCAGTTTTCCTTAGACCACGCAAGGTGAGGCTTTGGACTTGGGCATTATGCCTTCCGTTTTTAAAAGCCAGAAATCCTGGCCTGGATTCCGTCGTGCAATGTTAAATTGGTCAAAGTCTCATAGAAGGATGTTTGCCACTGAAAGAGTGATGGAATTTGGAATAAATGCAAAGACTGATTCTGCAATTAAATATAAACAGATTATTGCCAGTTGCCATTAAGCTGAGACCCCAGGCTCTTAAACTGTCACGTTCAAATAGAAGCCCAGACCTGTCCTCCCAGGTGCCTTGGAGGAGTTAAAACAGCCTGTGTTTCGGCTGGTGGTCAAGCTTCATCCTTCGTGCTACTCAAAGACTCCCTGTGGTTTTTTTGGTTTTGTTTTGTTTTGTTTTAAATCATTTTATTAGGGGCTCATACAACTCTTTTCACAATCCATACACACATCAATTGTGCAAAGCGCATTTGTACATCCATTGCCCTCATCATTCTCAAAACATTCTCTCTCCACTTAAATCCCCTGCATTAGGTCCTCATTTTTCCCCTCCCTCCCCGCTCCCCCATCCCTCATAAGCCCTTGATAGTTCATAAATTGTTATTTTGTCATATCTTGCCCTGTCCGACATCTCCCTTCACCCACTTTTCTGTTGTCCGTCCCCCAGGGAGGAGGTCCCTGTGGTTGTTTTTTTTTTAAAAACAGAAAAATGGAAATGGGGAACTGATATTGGGCTCAAGTGGGAAGGGAATGCTTTGAAAATGATGATGGCGGCATATGTGCAAAAGTGCTTGACACGTTGGAGGAATGTATGGATTGTGTTAAGAGATGTAAGATCCCCCAGTAAAAAGTATTTATTTTTTTTAAAAATAACAGAAAAATGGAATATAGCACATTCTTAATAACCTAGATATCTATAGTAAGTAAGTTGAGCCTTTGTAAGGTCCGATTTTGGTTTAGCAGTTGCCCTTTAGTGAGCGTGTTATGTGTAGACAGATGATTGCTGGGCTATGTAATCCACCACCCCATGAAGAAAGTTCTATGATTCCTTAGTTGAAAGGTGAAGAGTCTAAAGTTTACGAGAGGTGGCAGGACTGGGCCACCTCATTTAGGGACCAGATCCTTGGTCTTCTGTTTTCAAAGCCTGAGCCCTAAATCACTATGTTCTCTGGCCTTTCTAAAAGAGAGCCTATCAGAAGCCCAAGAGGATGCTTCGCCAGTCAACACATTGTATGCTTCTTCATACATGATGGGTTGATGCTGCCACGGACCCATTTTATTAAGGAGATAACACAGACATCCTTACCACTGCCATTGACCTTCACCTATCCCTGAGAAGCTGAGTGTTTTGGAGATGGAGTGAGAGAGGCTCAAGAAGGGTTTGGGGTTCCTTTGTGTAGTGTCCAGTCACTTAAGAGTTTAATCTGTACACATCAATAGTTCATGTATTTTGGCCCTATACTTGTATAATTTCCTTTTCTCGGCAGTGTTGTAATTTCTGTATTATTGGCTAGACTAATGCCACTATCAATGTGTATTGTCTTCAGCGATAGTGTCAGGAAGGTGAGCATCACGGAATGCCAGGTTATTAGAACAAAATGTTCTTGCACCAAGGGAATACTTGAGTAGAGGCCCAATGTCCGTCTACTACCTTAATACTTAACATATAAATATATGTACATAGATCTATTTCCCTATCATTGTATATAAATATATTTACATATTGTACAACTCTTCTAGATGTGATTGATTTTATGGTATGTGAATGATATGCCAATAAAACTATTTTTAAAAAGGTAAGTGCCCAGACATCCCCCTGCGGCTAGAGGCCTCAGGGGTGGTGGTCTGGTAAAGCCAGATAAAGAAGCATCACCCTAATTTAGATAAATAAGGGCACATGATAATAAACCTGTTAATCTCTTCCTGTAATCATTGTTTTTTTTAAAAAAACAGCAACATCCCTGTTTCTTGTCACAGAGTTTAGTGGTTTTGAACTGCCAACCTTGAGGATCGCAGCCCAACTCGTAACCACTATGTCATCAGGGTTCCTCAACCAAGGCACAGAAAGATTAAATATATTTGCCCATAAAAGCCATTGAGTCAGTTCTGACTCATCCCTATAAGATAGAGTAGAACATCCCCTTTGGATTTCTGAGACTACAAATCTTTATGAGAGCAGAAAGCCTCATCTTCCTCCCAAGGAGCAGCTGTTAGGTTTGAACTGCTGACTTTGTGGTTAGCAACCCAACATGTAACCCTCTATACCACCAGGGCTCTTTATTAAGAGAGAGTGCCAGGATCCTAGCTCTGTCTGTTCATTTTCCCTTGCTGTTCATCTCCGGAGCCTGTGATTTGTTGAACATTGAAAGGATGAGACAAATCATTTTCTTCACTAAAGTAAACGCCGTTGGAATAAATAAAGAGACCTGACGTCAGGCGTTAACCTTTATTCTTTGCATGAACCTTGTTCTGTGTTTTTTTCACTTTGTTATCATGGGTTTGGATTTATGAGGCCTGAAAGAGAAATGGAGAAACCAGACTGGTCTTGGATCTTGTCATATCTTGTATATTAAACTAAGGTGTGTCCTTACTTACAAGCAATGACAAAGAATTTCTATAGACCTCAAACGTAGAATTCTATTTATGGGCTTTATAACTATAATTATAGTTTCCATGAAAACACTTAAAAAAGTCAGTCCTCTTTTTTAAATGCTTGAAACCCAATCTATTTGACTGCTAAAATTAATCCCCAGTGATTGGCCTAGGAAGCAAATGTGGTCGCCGGGACTGATGTTTTTACACGTGGAAAATGCAGGCGGGTTTTGTGGAAGTTGTTTGTTATTGCACAGGTGATGATTTAGAAAATGCTGTGCTCTGCACAGAAGGCCGCCAAATAAAGTGTACCGGCACAAAGCATCACGCCAATAATCCTGACCGCAGCAAACCCAAACCCAACTTCTAGGCAGGCCATCTAGCAAGTGTTCAAGGGAGAAGCGTGGGCATTCAACTAGAAATCATTAAAAAGCAGCCGTCTGTCACCGGCAATTCCAAGCGCAGAATGGAAGGAACTGAGTCGATGTCTTCTACTGGAGGAAGGGACGAGGGAAGACCACAGAGCAATACACGCCAAAGGTAATTCCGCTCGGGCTGCACCTACCATCCGAGAACAGTCTACATATTTTCATTCCAGTCTCCTCCCCAAGGGTTTGTGAGGTCAGTGCTGGCTTGGGGAGAGAGGAAAAAGAAAAGGGAGGAACCCAATCAGAAAGAGGAGAGCTGTGTTGGGGTTGGAAGCAGCAGTTGCCCCGAGGGAGGGGCACCCACGGCCACCACAAGCACCGTGATTTCAGCCTTCTGTCACCAGGCTGAGCCGCCAGAGAAGAAAGTGGAATTGGCAGTGAAAAAGGAACAGTGATTTTAGATGCAGTAGTGGCACATGCGGCCTACTCTTGCGTCTTTTGCTTTCCCGTTTTGGTAAGAATAATTACATCAGTGGTGGTCGTCCAGATGGCCCGTGGGGTCTGTAATATTGGGACCATCCCAAGAAAAAATAGCTGTGCATCTCCTGACTGCCCCTCAGCCCAGGTGATTGGCCTGGGTGGTTGAGAGAAAGGTGAGAAACACAGGAACAAGAATTTGAGATTTGTTTCACCCTTAACATTTGCCCCTGATTTTAAGAGTAATGAATGCTTAGTATTGGAGACTTGGAAATAGTGTAGGACATAAGATTTTAAAATCCTACAGGAGTGTCAAAAAGTGTGTGTCATGATCTTTATAATGTCATTATAAATGTCATTACCCTTGCCTTCCATTTTTCTACACACTTTTTGAAGCTTCCTTGTAATTCTCTGTCCTTTTCCTCTGGTCATTAACCAGTCTGCCGGAGTGTGACTGCATACGCAGCTGAATCATTTGCCATCAGAGGACTGCCTTACTTTATCTACATATTCCCTTCTGGGGAACATTTACATGTTTCTCCTAAGCAGTATTCATTCCCTTTGGGTTCCTTTAGTTACACTCTAGTTCCGGAATTCATTTTTCACTGTATTTTACATTTGCAGGAACTTGTTATGTATTTTCAATTGTTCTCTGCAACACTTGAACCAGTTTATACTTTCACTGGTTCTGAGAGTGTGGATTAGAAATTAAGCGTAAAGCTTGGTGAGGATTTGGATCCTAGGTGTTTACAAGGTGCGTTTTCAATTGCTTCTTCGAGACGGAGAACACCATCACCACCATCTCGCAGGACGCATTCAATGTCGAATGCATTTAGCTGCGGTTCAAACCCACCAGTGACTTCGTGGGAGAAAGATGTCTGTTTACGTCCATAAAGATCACAACCTTGGAAACCCATGGGGAAGTTCTCCTCTCTATGGTTGCTATGAATGGTCACCTTGATGATAGTGGGTTTGATTTTTTATTATTATTATTGAATGTCTGCTATGTCCTGGGCACTCTATGTGTTGGGCTCTGAGAGTAGGGAAGTGTAAGCAAGCAGTAAGCAATGCCGTGTAAAGAGAGATCTGAGGGGGAGGACACTAGTGTAGGAATACCTGAGAAGCGCAGTGCCTCACCTGAACTTGAGGGTCCAG